GTCAAGCCTAGATTTCAGCACTAGCTCGTCTAACAGTAAAAGATCAAACAAACATCAAAAGACAAATAACTCGGGCCTCTCAAAATTTTTGCGCATCAAAAGGTTTTTCAATTAGGATGTTTCTGTTCGTCAACAGACTTTACCAAAAAGAATGAAAAGATAAGCTACCCAATTGCGACAATATTTTCAGAAACCATATCACATACACACAATATTATCTATTTGATATGATATACATTTACAATATATAATTGTATATGATATATTAATTATGTATTATATACTATATAATATATAATAACGAACTATATTACACGTCAAATAGATAAATAGGTATAATTTCAAGAATGTAACTACAAAAAAGGTTCAAGCACTGGAAAGGAAAGAACTTGAATTGACATTTCACCAGAGGATATTCGATGACAATACACGTGGAAAAATGCTTGTCTGACATTCTTAACAACAACCCCCAACCCCCAAAACCCTCAAACTCACTGCCACTAAGTCACTTCTGACTCATAAACCCTACAGGACAGAGTAGAACTGGCCCCTTGGGTTTCCAAGCCTGTAATCTTTACAGGAGTCGACAGCATCATCTTTACCCCACAGAGCAGCTTGTGGGTCCAAATCACCAGGGCCATGAAACCGAAAAGCAGACAGCATCTACACCTCACAGCATATGCAAAAGCAAATTCACAATGGGTTAAGGACCCAAAGGTAGAAACGAGGCACTCATTAGCCCTGCGGCCGCTTTGGACTCACCAAGCAGAGTGGTCTCAGAGTCTCTGTGTAGACAGATTGAGAGGTTCAAACCACCAGTACTTTCTCCACTGCACCATTAGAGAGTCTTTTTCCCTTTTCTGGAGCCCAGAAGGGTGGATGGACTTGTTGTCCTGAGATAATCCTTGAGCCTTGAACCAAAAATAACCCCAGCAGTCCTCTTAAAACTGAACCAAAACTTAGCTTAACTCGTCACAAATGACCTGCCCTGAGCACCGTGCTCTTTTACCGGGGATCAAACTGACAGTGAGTAGAAAGAGTGGGTAAGAACTTTCGGGCTGAGAGCCTGGGTTACAACTCAGGAAAGGAGGGTGGGGATCATCCAAGTGCCTGACTTGTACATGTAAACACTATTGGGTTGGTGTCTGTTTGGCCGGGTACATCCTCAGCAACAGCCACAAAATAAAGGTTTGGCTTGGTGGTAACTTGGCAGGGGGTGGACAGACCCTGAAAAGAATGCCTGCCTTTCCTTGTGAATCCATACAACCCCTCTGGAAAACAATTGGAAAAGAAATTTGAGATCATTTGAACAGAAATGCCAAGAACCATTAAAATGTTCATTTCCCATAACCCAGTCCCACCCCCCACCCCTGGGAACCTGGGGTGAAGGAAGAACAGCCGAGGGAAGAAGTCTCTGTCAACAGCCACGGGAGTGAGAGGTATGAAGCCATCCCGTAGCAATAGCAGGAACAGCCAGACAGTGCGTGACCGTAGGATATGAATGTATGTGAACACATTATATAAACAGCATCAGGAAATAATTTCATTTAGTGTTTTTATGATCCACCTAGAAGTAAAGAAAATGCAAGAATGATTCAAGTGAGTCCAAGGTGCCTACCAGACGGAAGTGGACACCCTTGGTGACCAACCTCAGCTCTACTTCTCATTAGTTTTCTGACCTGGGGCAAATCATGGACCCTCTCCGATCCTCCGTTTCCTCATCTGGAAAATGAAGATAAGAACACGCCTCCCCAGTTTGTGCTGAAGTTTCCATGAGATGCT